CGCCTTCTTTCTTTGCGTGCACATTTGGGCGGCATTATGCTAATATTTCCACATATTGACGTAGATATGTGGGGGGCGTGTTAGAACGAGCCGTTTTAGGGGGGCGTGGTTGACTCTTAACTTTGATAAAGAATATCTCTTTGGATTTGAGACTTTAGTCTTTGCAACTTTACAGATCTTCTTTATGCACCAAGAGCTTGTAACACTCCAAAGAGAAAGGAAGAATTGAAATCGCATCATATCACCCCTTTAAAATGTTCCAAACCTGCATGAGTTTCTTTCTTGTGAAGACATTTTGAAGAATGTGGGTAACCAAACAGATTTTGGTCTCCATAGTATTTTTTCCCCGTTGTGTGTGAACTAATCCTTTAATCACATGAGCTCTGTGTGTTCAGTGTCGGGATGTTGTGGGAAATCCTCCGCCGGGTTGCGTCACAGTGACGTCAGCGCTGGCGTCTTCAGCCGGCGCGCGCAGAGACAGCGATAAACCCTGCCTCCACACCTCTATGTGGCGGTAGCGCGTTGTTCTGGCCGCCGTTTTTTTGGCGGGTTAGCATCAACTGTGCTGAGACTGGAGAGGATGGATGCAGGTAGTATGGATGATGAAGATGATTCTTCAATAATTGATAGTGAGGGATGGTCTCAGGTACCAGATGCATCAAACAAACGAAAAAAATAGAGAATCTGAGTCGGATGACAATATCACAGAGATAGGAGGAAATAACAAAACCAGGAAAATGGAGGTGGAATATAAAGTAATAGTAGCATTTTCCGGAAAAATCGAAAACATCAACAATCCAATGAAATTTACGAAAATAATAAAGAAAGTACTAGGCAATGTTAACTCTGCAAGGTACTTATCAAACAATCGCGTCCTCATTTTTTGCGTAAATAGAAAGCAACAAGAGAATGCGTTAAAGATCAAAGAACTAGGTGGTGCAGCAGTCAAATGTCATGTACCGGGGGAACTTGATAATCTTAAAGGAGTAATCTTGGGGGTGCCTGTGTCCTTATCTGAAGAAGTATTAAAGACACAGATAAAGAATGAAATGGTGACAGAAGTGAAGCGTTTGCAGTCTAGTAAAAATGGTAGGAAAGAAGATAGTACCACTGTTGTATTAACATTCAATTGCAAAAACTTGCCGGAACGCATAACAATTGGATATATGTGGTATACGGTTCGCCCGTATATAAGACCAGCACTGAGATGTTTTAACTGCCAAAGATTGGGACATGTTGCAGCAGTTTGTAAAGGGAGAAGAAGATGTTGCAAATGTGGCGGAGATCATGATTATGGGCAATGTGGTGAGGGGATTGAACCTAAATGTTGTAATTGTGGAGGTCCACACAGTGCGGCGTTTCTAGGTTGTAAAGCCCAAAAACTAGCTACGGAAGCAATGAAATACAAAACAGTACAAAATATTTCATATGCTCAAGCAGTTAAGCAAGTACAAGCTGTTAATGGAAATCTGAAGGAAAACAACACAACCCAATTTAAAGATACATGCCGTCATAAATGTCTCTTGGATGGAAACATGCTTGTGGTAAACAAAATTAATTTTGTGGCATTTATAGCAGAAGTCATTAATTGCTCAGCTCAAACAGCTGTATAGATTAAGACATGCTGGAATAATAGTTAATTTTGTTTGGGTTCCAGCGCATGTTGATATACCAGGAAATGAAAAAGTTGATAAAATGGCTAAAGAGTCACTTAATCTGAATACTCCTACTATTTCAGTTTCACTAAGCAGGATGGAGGGGAAAAGTATAATTAAAGAAGCTTGCAATTGGAAATGGCAAGGGAGTTGGAATGACTGTAAAACAGGAAGACATTTTTATAATATACAAAACAGGGTAAGTCAAAGCAAACCGATACTGAACTTCAGTAGAGAAGATCAGGTCATTTTAACAAGACTAAGGATGGGTCATACAAAACTTAATTCTACAGTTCATATAATAGGAAAACACAGTACTGGATGCTGTGAAACATGCCAAGTGAAGGAAACAGTTGATCATGTGTTGTTACCCAGTCCTAGGTATGAACAGGAAAGGAATGAACTACAAAGAGAATTACAGAACTTAGGATGCAATGAATTTTCAATCTGCAACATATTAAACACAAAACAAGGATGTGGTAAAATAATAAAGACAATTTTAAAATTCATTAGGAACAGTGGACTTAAGAATAGCATATAGAATTCATAATATATAGTTAGACTGAAATCACTTCACACTCCAGCACAGGAGGTGGCGGTATGCACCTTAAAAGCTGGTATGCGACCCGCCACTAAATCAACAGAAGAAGAAGAAGAGACGGACATATTTGAGCGGATCGGGAGCGCAGCGCAGCGGCCCGCGCGTTCTATCGCTCGCGTCAGCTGATCACACGCGCGTTTAACGGACACACGACGCGGAGATGCCTCGCGGAGCACGCGTCTAGTTCGACCGCACGACGTCCTTCGGCCCCGCGCTGGAGTCCTCGCGCGAAATGGAGGTGCAGAGCGTCAGCAGCGAGGTATGTCGCACACATGACCGCGTCCACCGGCGTCCACCGGCCTCGGCTGATTCTCGGTGCCGTTACCGGCGGCTTTGTGTGTGTTTTCGGTGATGCGAGCGGCGCGGGTGCGCGCACGCAGTGTGGAGACTGGCGTGACGACAGCGTTAGCATTAGCCGCTAGCATCTGATAATGATGCTGCTGGTCAATCTTTCACAACACTAACGCGAGCGGTGCTGCAGTCAGTGACGTCGTGTGTCTGAGGTGTGTAAAACACAGCATGATGATGAAGATGATGATGATGATGATGATTAGCCTGCGCTTGTTGATCGGATTCTCCTTATGAGTCATGACCAAAGCTAGCACACACTAATGTCAGTGTAAATTAACGTTAGCTGTAGCTATATAACGCCCCAGATATCACACTGTTAACATCAATCTGTGCTCGCAATCAGACAAAAGATGTCAGATACAGTTTCATCTGCTGTTTATCCGTCAGTCTGTCTGCAGATCTCACTTTCTGTTGGCCATTCTCTACCTAACTAACGTTAAATACCCGTTTGTTTGTAATCAAGATTCAAAGATTCAGAAAACGTTATTATCTATCAACCAGTGATTGAAATTTGTCTTAGGTAAAGGGCTCAGACATAAACAACACAAGAAAGCACACACAACCAAATCACAATTAATCCACAAAAACGCCTCTAAAATAAACCATAACAAACCGAAGATACAAGATCCTGACAAAACTGCTAGGCCTTATTTAGAATAGAAATTCAGCCGTTGTTTTTGTACAGATAAGTGCTCCTGTAACGCAGATCAGTCTGCAAGTTTATATTTTTACGAATAGTTAAAATATAGAAGTGCTTTTATTAATCAGATGTAGCTTCGTGGGACTTTGCTGGAGGTGTGTAAGTGTTGTGTGAGCTGTTGCTCTTCCTCACTGAAGGATGCTATCAGGAGGATTTATCCATACATAGGGTTGCTTTTTTTATTATTCCTAGCAGTTACAAGACACTGTGCTTTACTGTGTTTGTTCTGGTAATATCAGTCAGTGTCTGCTGTAAAGCGGTTGATTCTGTTCTCTTCTGACTAATGGTCGATCGATATGTTATTAATGACTGGTGCCGATATCTGAAAGTGCTTTTCCGTGATTGCATTTCAACGCCATCACTATTCAGCATGCTACAATAACTATTTGGGGTTGGGATGTAGTATATAGTCATGGTTATGATATAGGATGTGAAATTCAGCCCCAAAAATTGTGATTTATACATAAATGTGACTTTTATTATGATTATTATTATTATTATTGTAAAACATTAAACAGAATGAGAAATGTTACCCTTTCAATAGTATTGTATTGTAAAATAAAAATCATATTGTTCAGTATGAAATGACAATACTAATATTTGTCTTTATTAATTTTTAAATGTTAAACCATCAAGTTCATATTTTGGGCGAACACACGAGGAGCTCTTCAGGTTTATAAACGCCTCGCATCACAAATCTGTGGTGAAATGGGTGGCACACATTACATTTACATTTAGTCATTTAGCAGATGCTTTTATCCAAAGAGACTTACAAATGAGGACAATAAAAGCAATCAAAACCAACAAAAGAGCAATGAGATGCAAGTGCTATAACAAGTCTCAGTTAGCTTAATGCAGTACACGTAGCAAGGTTTTTTCTAAAATTGTATAATAAATAAAAAAACGGATAGAATAGAAAAAGATTAGAGCAAGCTAGTGTTAGAGGCTGTTTTTCACTTTTGTTAATTATATAATAAATAAAAAGAAAACAGATAGAATACAAAAAGATTAGAGAAGCTAGTAGCAGTAAATAAATAGAGTGCAAGTCTAAAAGGGGCAAGTTTTTTTTTTTTGAAAGGATAGAATTAGAATAGAGAGTGCTAGAGTTAGAGGGTCAAATAAAGATGGAGATCCACCAGGAGGGAACAGTTATAGGGATACTCCACCCCAAAATGAAAATCGTGTCATTAATCACTTACCTCCATGTCGATCCAAACCCCTAAAAGCTTCGTTCGTCTTCGGAACACAATGTAAGATATTTTGGATGAAAACCAGGAGGCTTGTGACTGTCCCATTCACTGCCAAGTAACTTACACTGTGAAGGTCCAGAAAAGTATGAAAGACATCGTCAGAATAGTCCATCTGCCATCAGTGGTTCAACCGTAACGTTATGAAGCGACCAGAATACTTTTTGTAGAAAACAAAAATAACGACTTTATTCAACAATTCGTCTCCTCTGTGTCTCTCCGCATCACTGTAGCGCCATTTTGGAGAATATGCACTGAACTCAAACTGCGTACGCTCTTCTGTGTCAGCCGCGACACAAGGATACGGTTTCTACATGCATTTACGCTTTGATTTGAACAAAAACAGGGCATCCGTGCAGCGCGGCTGACACAGAATAGCATGATGTACTCTAACTGTACATTACAGTCTTACTATATCAGCTGTCTGTCGCATTAATGTTAATCAGACAATAAAATAAAAGAGGGAATCACTCACTGCTCTTGATTGAACTGCTTTTGTAGTTTTAATAAATAATCGTTTATTTGTGATGAATACACTACAGTGATTTTTACATTTTATTAGCCTATTTGTTTTTCTTGAATGCTTTTGTTTAGATGTAAGATTAAATAAGTAATGCACTATTTAATTTGTTTCTTATATTTGTTCTACTGTTTATTTGCATCCTTGTTCTAATGCAAAGATTTAAAAACTATCTATATTGTGATTGTTAATATAGTAATTGTTATTAAGAAAAGAAGTAGAGGAAAAGATGCAACATTGCTTGGTGATTTTGCTTTGGCATCTTCAGAAAATGTTAACTAGATTTTTCTCAAAATTGACTTTGCTGACTCTATTGACTACAAACGGGTGTAGTCCTTTTTTGTTTTGTCCGATTCCAACAAATCCTATATCATTGAAGGCTTTTTTTTAATGGAGATTGTGAACATAAAAATAACTTGTTTTAGTAGAAGATTTGCTCATTGCGACTCATTTTCCCAGCACAGGTCATACATTCCGTGTGGTTAGCTGAAATAAACTTTTTCATTAAGGAATGACATTTGCTCTCTTGATTTCTGGTTCTCTTTTTCTAACATTGCATTATTAGATATATGCATCATTTATATATATATATATATATATTAGGGGTGGAACAGTTCAACTTACTCACGGTTCTGTTTGTATCACAGTTTTAGAGTCACGGTTTCGGTACGATTCGGTATGTGCTATGTTTAGGCAAAAACTATACTGTCAAATAAAAATAAAGAAAATAAGAATTATCTAGCTACAAGCAACAGCACAAATACATACAATAGTATAATAAATACATACATAAATAATACATACAAATAAAATAAACAGTGATTTTCAGGTTTTTTAGGTAGGTCTAACATTAGTTTTTAGGTACAGAAATTGAATAAAGTAATGAAAT